TAATCCAATTTTACTTATTTTAATCCATTTTGGTATTAAAATAAGCAAAATTGGATTAAAATAAGAAGCGTTGCAGCTTATTTTAATGCCTTTTAATTTTCTGTGTTATAATCATTGAAATTAATTGAAAGAAAGTGATTGATGATAATAAAAAAAAAATGCCTTTATGGCAAATGATTTAAGTTTTCGAATAAATAATGTCTTGCAATGAAAAAAAAAAAAATATTGTGGAAAAAAGTGTAAAAACATTTATTTCACTGATTGTGAAATGTCAAGATATCCAATTGCTTTGCATGGTCAAAGAAAAAAAAAAAGATAAAAATAATAAAAAAGAAGATCCTTTATGTCGCAAAAGGAGAAATACAGTCCAACTTTGCGGTTGTCCTTTTAGTGTAATTTTCGCATTGGTTACGTAATTGTAAACTTTCTACATTCAAACGAACTATATAAGTATATTTCGTTATAATACTTGTTTCCACGTTTATATACATCAAGGGGGATCATGTTACCCAGATGTAAATTTTGTGGTAAACTGTCGCGATTCCCCAAGTTGGTCTCATATTAAAAAAAAAAAGAAAAAGAATGATAGAAATCTGAAATTCAATCCCAATAGATATAATCAAAAAATCCTACAGAAAGGGGGGAAAAAAATATGAAAAATTAAAGAAAATTTTGCTATCAATATTTTAAAAAGAGAGAAAGAGAAAATTACAAAGAATTTCTATCAAGGAAAAGTGGAAATATATTATCGAGAGAGCCGTAACACGCATTGCCCGGTGAAGTAACAAGTCAGTTATTACGACTTATGTGATAAGTGTTTTACTTGAAATTAAAAGCTAGTATTACGCAGATTAGAGATAGCTAAAAACGATTAGACTGCTCATAGGCAGAAATAGCGTTCGTTCCCCTTTTCAAGATAGATATCCGTGAAATACTGAGAAAACAACTCTAGTCACCAGAGAGTGAGAGAAAGAGAGAGAGAGAGAGAGAAATAGAGAGATTGCTCATTGCCGTGGAATGAAATCCCTGAACGAGTTGTCTAGGGGATTTGAAGAACCCTATTTATAAAATGAACAGTAATGACGTGGCCAAACCTTTAAAGCATCTCGCGAATATAATTATTTTCCTCGAGGTTAAAGGACAAGGTTTATTTTACATATATATATATATATTTTATATATATATATACATAAAAAGAGAAAGAGAGGGTTTTAACAACAACTCCCAAGATTAAATTCCATTTAATGAGAGACGGCGCGAGTCCTGGTGCACATTCTTTATAATCCCCTCACGATTATGTTCCCATTTTTATTCCACGGAAATCGCTGTTCCAATTAAACGAGGAATTTAACTCGGGCAAAAATTATAATTAAAAAGAATCAAATGCATATATATATATATATATATATATGTGTGTGTGTGTGTGGTTATAAGTTGGGAATAATTGCGGCAAAATCGCCAATTATTAAACTTTTACTTTCATTTTTCCTATAATTCTAAATCCATTTAATAAATTAATTGAACAAAAAATTATTATATATTTTTTTTCATATTTGCTTGATTTTTATATATATATATATATATATATAATTTTCTTATTACAATTAATTTCTCTTGACGTATGGAAAAAAATACAAAGTAGTTTTTACTATACCAACAAAGTAAAACATGTTTGAAAGTTCTATAGAACAATTTTTCCTACGGAAATAGAAAATATTACAATTGAAATAGTAAATACTTTGAAAATAGTATTTGTACTATTTCCGAAGCAAAAGTTTAGAAATACTTAGAAATTCCGAAAAAACTGGAATTTATTTTTAAATTAGTAAAAATTACTTGATAAGTATATAGTAAAAATTACTTTATTTTTTTATTTTTTCTCCGCAATTATTTTTGATATTTTACTAATACTAATAAATCTAGTTTCAATTATTATTAAATTATTAATTTATTCGAGGGGGAATTTACTCAGCTAGTCAAGTGTACACTCTTCCTGTAATACTTGTGTAATAACGTGTAATAATGCGTTATTACGGTGCTGTAATAACGCAAAAAAATCTGTAATATCTCTGTAATAATGTGTAATACTCTGTAATAACGTGTAATAACTTAGTAATAAGGGTAATATGAGATGTAATACAGGTAGTCAAGTGTACACGTTTTTAACTAGTAAATTCCCCCTAGAATTTATTATTTTTTAATTAATAATTTTTTTTATTTAAATTAATAAATTAATCATTTTCAAAAAAAAAAAAAAATATGTGGAAAATTTGTGAGAAGAAAATTATAAATTTATATATATATATATTATTTCGAAGTTGCTCTGTTTCTTATTTAACGGGGTAAGTTTATACCTAGAGCGTATACACTATCACTTTCGCCAAGAAAGAGAGAGAGAGAGACAGATTTCGCGTCGTTAACCCGTGACCTGCCTTTCCCCAGGACATTGTGACACGCCGTCGTCTTAATAAATATTCAATTCTTATTCGTGACGACTGTGCTTGCCTTTTGTTTCGAACTTTGGTTGCTTTTCTAATTAATTATCCCTCACAAAACGTCGTATCGATCAGGCGCATGAGAACGTTCTTACTTGAGATTATATGTACAGTTGTTGCAATATATTCCATCGTCGGCTTTGTAGCCAAAGAAGAAAATAGAATTTATATAAAAAAAAAACAACAACAACAAAAATTCCACTGCTTAGCAAATAAAACAATGCATCGAAATCAAATCAGTTTTCCATTTCTGTTATTCTTATATATATATTATATATTATTACTATTATATTGTTTTTTTATTATTATTATTACTATTATTATTATTATTATTTATTATTATTTATTATTATTATATTATATTATATTATTATACACTGAGAAAAAAAATTTAGTGTTTGCAACAAAATTGTTTAATTAGGCAATTTCGGTTCTTGTAACCAAATTTTGGTTGGCTGAAACAAAGTCGCAGAGTTATCTCAATCAAACATTTGGTTAGGCCAACAAAATTATTTGGTTGAACATTCTTAAATTCCAAACAAAATTCGGTTACAACAAAATAATTTGGTTAACACAACAAAATAGTTTGGTCTAAAAAACCAAATGATCGTTTGTTGTCCTATAACCAAAATTTGGTTGCGACAACTAAATAATTTGATTGGATAAATATAAATTCAATGTTAAATTGATAATAAATAAATAATGAAATAAATAAAAAGAATAAAAAGAAAAGAAATAAGGTTAAATAAAATTTTTAATTTCACAAAAAAAAAAAACGGTTTATTTGATCAACCAAACATTTTTGTTGACCTAACAAAAAAAATTTGGTTGAGCTAACCAAACATTTTTGTTATGCCAACAAAAAACACTCAACCAAATTTTTTGGTTGACTCAAACAAATAGTTTGGTTGCTTAAATACCAACAAAATTTTTTTGTTAGCTTAACCAAATTTTGGTTGCTCTAACTAAACATTTTTCTCAGTGTATATATAGTAGAAATATTTGTACACGAAAAAAAATTTATTTAATACAAATAAATATTTATTTGATGTCAACTAACCGATTATTTGGATCAAATAAATTTGTTTTTTCAGTATACATATATTTTTTTGTTTTGAGAGAATAATCACGAAAAAAAAATATTTGTCGCTTTACGGTAAATTGTATATATACTTAATATATAACGGAAATGAAAGAATATATATGAGAATTTTTCAATTGAAGAAATAAATAGAAAAACTTTATAAGAATTGAAGATTATTATCAGAAAAGATGAAATTATTTATAGTTTCAACGAACGGCAAGGAGATAGATTGAAGATTTCAGTATATAAGTTTCATTACTGTCATAACCCGTTCGATCTTAATTAATTAATCGAAGCTCGTTTATATAAGCTATATACACGGAAAAGAAGAGGGCGTATGTACATACATATATATATAAATACTCTCCATATGGTGAATATTTACATATATATATATATATATATATTTCCAAGAAGACATGGACAAGTGTATAGAATCTTATTTTACTTGTGTATGTGGTATATCTATCGTATAATGTCTAACATGACATTATACAACCTGTAGGACGATAGACCGTTATTAAACTGCTTTGTTAATTGCTCACTAGAATTTACAATAGATTACTGGTATTGAAAATATCTTCATTTATATCGCCAGTCACAAAACGGTATACAATATAAATTAATAATATATAGAGATATTTTTTTATAGGGGCACAATGAAACATGTATTTGAAAGGCTCATTTTACTATTTATTATATATATAAATATTTCAATGATAAACCGTATATATAATAAGGCATACGATAATAATTATGTAATATGTATAATGTAATAAAAATATTTATTACATATCAGTACGTATTTTTATAAATAAAAAAAAATTTTTAATTCCAAAAAAATCTAACACTTAGAAAAAAAGTTATGGGATAACAATCAAAATTTTTAAATCAATCAACAAATACATTGAATTTAACCAAAATTTTTAAATTAACCGAAAGTTTACTTGATTTAATAAAAATTTGTTCTTCATTTGAATTTATTAAAAAATAGACGAAATATTTTATTTAGAAAATAAATATTTATTTGAATTAAACGAATTTTGTTTGAACTATATAACCAAAAAATTGTGTAAAAAAAAAAAAAATGGTGAAATAAATTTTTATTCTTGACAAATTATGCATAAATTTACCTATAATTCACTTGACTATTACTTTGACAAGGAAATCAAGGAAGCGCAATTACTATACTTTAAGATTCCATCATTTTTCTTACTTCATTTGTGTTTTGAAATAAATAATTCATATCATAATTATAAGTAGGAGGCAGAAAATAACTTTATGTTTTAATTAAATTTTATATTCAAGTACGAATTTTTATGGTATTTGGCGCATATTAAAATCGTAGAAGAAAAATTTATTTTGAAAAAACATAAATAAATTTTTCTTTAAAATACTCTATATTGAAAACAAATTAGAAATTTTTTTAAATGAAATTTTTTTTATTATTTAAATATTTTTGTAAATATATTATATATTTTTATTGTAGATTTATTTTTTATTTATTTACTAAAGTGTAATTTTTTACTTTATTAAAATGCATTTGAATAATAATAATATCGATTATTATGACTATTTTTTCGACATTTCCAGTAACCTATTCTGCTTGATGATGGTTTTAGGCATTTATCTATAAAAAATAAAACCAAAAAATTGCATAGTTTTTTAATAATAATAAAAATTTTTTAATATAGCAAAACTTAATTTATAATTTTTTTTAATAATAAATTTTGAACTGATGATAAAAATAAATTATTTTAAATTTTATAAAAAACTATTTCTTAATATTTTTTTACCCAATGCTATGTGCCATGGATAGACAGTGTGTGCTGTATGGATAGGAACAGTGCTACAATAATATTGATAAGAATTTATACTATTTTCATCCAGAGGTGGTTGAATACAATGACCTATTGAGTATAAGAATTAAAAAATTTTTTTTTTAAATAAATAGAAATTTAAATAATAATAATAATAATTTTTTAATTAATTAGTTAATTTATATTTTAAATGTACAATTAATTAATTTACTGTTTTCTTCCAATTAATTTCTACGTAAATTAATTTAATTAAATTTAGAATTATTTAGCAAAAAAAAAAAAAATATTGAAATTAAATTAATTATTGAAATTTAATAATTAAATTTAATCTATTGAAAAAAAATCTTACTGGCAGCTTCATCTTTAGTTGGCCAACCCACAAAACAATAAGCAACGTTAAATGCAAAACAAATGAACAGGAAGAATTGTACAAAATTCATGTTTGAATTTGTTTTAAAATATCAAAAATTTTTCGTTATTTCCTGCTTATAACTGAAAGTGATAGCTGCGTTTACTGAATGATTCTATTAGAAAATTCGATCAATTTTTATACTCAATGTTCAATGCTACTGAATAGTATTGAAATTAAATTTGCTAAGAATGAATAATTAAAAAAAATAATGTATAGATTAAAAAATAATAGCAGAATAGATTTTTTTTCAAAAAAAAATTAATGAATACCAATTGAATAATTAAGTATTATTAAAAATCACTTACTAAACAATTGATTGTCTAATTTTTTTTTTTTTTTTTTTTGAATATTAAATAATTTCAATTGTCGATGAAAAAAAAGTAATAATAAAGAATATTATTTGTCAAATAATAATTATTAAATTCTTATCTTTTGAAATGATTAATCAAATTAGCAAATGACAAAAATCTGAATAAATAAAAACTTATATTTTTTATATTAGCCATTGTTTTCTAATTATTATATTTCTTTCTAAAATATTCAAATATATTTATGACATAAATGTCAAGTAAATTAAAAAACCCTAAAATTACTTTTAACCTTTTATTTATATATATAAATAAATTTGTTTATATAAAAAATTTATATTTTTTAAAATAAAAATTAAAAAAAAAATTTCTTGACAATACTTGTTAAAAATCAAAAAACAATTTTTATTTTCTTAAAAAAGTTTTTCAAAAATTCATTTTGATGCAAATATATATATATATATATATATATATATATATATATGTGAATAAAAATAGATATTATACTTTTGAAAAAAATTTTAAATTAAATATTTTTACCCGAAAATTTATAAATCTACAAAAAATTACGTATACTTTTTTTCTTAAAACTTTGGTTTTATAATAAACATATTTTTATATTTATTTTTTGATTTTTTAATATAATAATTTGCAATATATATTATAATGAAGAATAAAGGAGTGGTCCGATATTACTCAGGTATTTCCCCTATATTGACAAATATAATATAATATTATATTAATATTTGTCAATAGTAATAATAATAATAATAACGTTCAAAAGCTGAAAGGTATATGAACTATGAATAATAATAATAATGTTTGTGAACTTATAATGTTGACTTATATAATGAAGAATAAAAATTCTTGGTGTTTTCGATTTTATATAATAAAATATTAATTAGTTATTTGACTAATTTAAATAATATTTAATTTGTCAGTACTGCGCCAGTAGTAAATTTTTGATTGGGTAATTACCAAAAAAAAAAAATTAACCGCTAAAAGAGTTTATTTATACCAAAGAATATGTAATAAAGAGTGAAAATCAAGTTTCAATTTGCCATCAAGTAATTGAAAGTACAAATAAGAAAGATCAGCAATGGAATGTTTAGTGAAATCCTATTAGAATTATATTGATCATGAATTGAATTTTTCCTTGATTTCCATTAAGTGGAAGAAGCAGTGTGACTGACCTGAAATGCAAAAGGAGTAACAAAATGAGAAGGAAGAGAAGAAGAAGAAGAAGAAGAAGAGTAACTCCGCTGAGAGTTGCACAAGCTCCAAACAGGATTAAATAGAAGAAGAAAAAAAATCAACTATGAAACCAAGAAAGGAATGGTTGGTGATTGTGACAGGGTGGAGTGGTTGAAGGGCGGGGGGAGGGGGTTTAGAAGAGAGAAGAAGAAAAAGAAGAAGAAGTGGCAACAGCAGAAGAGGGTATTAGAGATGACCTTGAGAAATCGTGACCTTGGAAAGAGCCTCGGCAAGGACGTCATGGTTACATGGCGAACGTTTCAGTCCATTGCACTTAATCTGGAGAAAGTTTTGTGCGTCTCACTTTGGACTTGTTCCGTAATCAATTTTTTTTTTTTTTTTTTATTTTTAAAAACAAAAATGCAAGAAAAAAAAATCTTTAAATTTCATTTTACTACCTTGAGGAAAGAAGAGTTCCGGCTTTGAAAAGTTTCTTTATCTTATGAGTTTTGAAAATTGCTTATTGCGTAAAATTAATTTTATTAACCCTTTGAACTTTTAAGATTTATAAGAATTTTGCACAATAAGAGAAAAAGATGTCAAAAGTTCAAAAAAAAAAAAAAAAAAAATTATCGTAAATTCCGTTCTATTTATAAAGATTACCTATACCTATTAATAATAATTGAATTCCTTTTCGTAATTTGCAAAATATATATAAAGTAGTTGCCGCGATGCGTCACAAATAATAATAATCAAGTCGCAGAGATAAGAAAATTCTTTCTTGAAATATATTTTATGACTTTATATATATGTATTTCCTTGGTGATAAGGATTGCAAATCCGTGAGTGATTCACTTATAATCAAGTATATATAATGATTTTGAAGAATGATAATGATTCCGTGAGAAAGAGAGAAGGAATATTTGATAATAATTTATTCTTGTAAAATTTTCCTTTTCGAATAAAAAAAAAAAAATTATTATTTATCTACACTGTCAAGTAATCAAACTGTATCAATATAAGCAAAATTCCAACATCTTTATATTAAATTTAATTATATATTAGTTGAAATTTTATTTCAAGTAAAAAATAAATTAAATTATTTTTTATAAAAATTTTTCTTTTTAAATAACTTTTTTAAGTCTTTTTAAAATGAATCATAACCTCGAAAAATAAATATATATAAAAATTGTCGGCGATACGGATATAAACATGATAAATAAATCGATGCATCCTTTATTTAGCATGATGGATATATCTATCTTTTAGCATCTGTAACCTGCCTCTTCGTATATATATATATATATATATAATGAAATCAGAAAATTAATGATGATCGTCTATTAATCCCCTTCAAACGTAGAAAAATGCGAACTAATTGTATTTAACCAATGATAATAATTATACCAAGATTCCGGAACTATGTTTAACGGAAAGAAAAATTAAATAAAATTTTTTTTTTTTGTTATTTCCCCCCTGAAGAATTATTAAATATCGCATATAGTTTATTAAGTGTCGTATTACATCCCACGCATTTTATTTTTATGGGAGGTGTTCTCTCGAGCTAATTTTCTTTTTTTTAAATGCAAAAATTATATGGTCATTTCGAGGACGTCGAACGACCTTGCGAATGCGTCACAAACCGATAAGGAAAACGTGACCCATTGGTATTATATCATATAAACTTTTACGTATACAGTATTATGCGATTTTTGTTTTTAAAAAATTAAAGCGATGCGTCTGTATTTATATATTTCACAGACGGAGAATTTTGATTGTGACAACGTATTTTTTAATTAATTAAAATATATTTTTTTTTGTTATAAAATTTTTTTAATTTAAAAATATTTTTACCTTAATAACGAATTTTCAGCTTGAGGGAGATTTATTCATTCAAACTAAATAGCCCTCGGAGATCCCTACTTTCAAGTTAAATTTCCATTTGGAAAATGTGAAAAATAACCGTAAAAATAGACCGAGTTCTAAAAAGTCGGAAACTGGAGAATCCTGTATCCTTCCTAATAAGATATATCCTTTTGTCCTTATCCTTGAAGTACGTGACATAGAGGATCTGCAAAAAGAAAAATTAATTGACAGTCAGCGCTGTACTAACAAGTAGTTAAATCTTTAACCAGTCGGTAATGTAGAAAACTATAAAAAAAAAAATTCGTTTCCAAATTTGAAAAAAATAAATGTGGCATCGAAACTAAACCTAAACTAATAGAATACAACAAAAATCTGACTATATTTTACTATATAGTAAGTAGTAGTCTGACTATATTTTACCTATACTAATAAGTTACTCCAGATTTTATTACCTACACGAAAGAAACGAAATAAAACAAAAAAAAGGGAAGGGGTAGGAAGAGAATAAAAGACGTTGATTCTTCAAAGTAATTGGATTTTCTTACGCAAACAGTCCGCGCCTACACTTCAAATAGTTACGTTCTTCTCTAATAATGTCGAAACAAAACAACCTTAGTCAATGTATTGTCAAACCATGCAATTTTCTTCTTCGAATTTTCTTACCTTTCTCTATCTATATATATATATATATATATATATATATATATATATATATATATATAAATTACCCTCTATATTATGCAAAAACAATATATAACTTATATTAAATATATTGCATAAAAACAATTTTTCTAAATTTCTCCCTAAAATATTTATTAAACAATTTTTATGTTTAAAACGAAAAAATTAATCTTTTTAAAAAAAAAAAACTAATTCAAATCTCTATAGTCAATGACCGCGCTGCTGTTACCGCGATCGTATAACTAGAGTCGTTACGCAAGACTTAACTTTGTATATTATTATTCTACATTCACATATATATATATGATACATACAAACAAGATATTTCTCTATACGAGAATTATATTGATACTATTGTAGATTGTATAAAGCGAGGATTTTTAGATAAAAATCAGTCGATATTCAACAAAGATATCTTTGTGTCAGGACTATATAGAATTCCTTATTTATTGGGTTAAATTAGAAACATAACTTGTATTAGCAGTATATATATATATATATATATATATATATATATAGGCATATAGTAGCGCAGACACACCTTTTTCATGGCTTCTGGTTTTATATAGAAAGCAAAAGAGTAATAATTTGTAACATTATTAATTAACAATTAATAATTTAAAAAAAAAATTCTTTTCCCTTAACAATAAATAAATATTACCAATCTAGTCTAAATTGATTATAATTCCTATACATAACAATTGCTATATATACGGAAAAAAATATTTACCTGTAACAACGAAACGTTTCACTATGCGAAAGCAAAAGTTTTACTTGATTCAGTTAAATATTTATTCCCGTGTAATAATAATAATAATAATAATAATAATAATAATAATAATCTCGGATATATTTAATATTTACCTGTAACAACGAAACGTTTCACTATGAAAGCAAAAGTTTTACTTGTTTCAATTAAATTATTCGCTATTCTAGTAAAATCTTTCGCTGTTTCAAGTAAATATTTATTCCCGTGTAAAAATAATAATAATAATAATAATAATAATAATAGTAATAATAAAAATAATAATCTCGGATATATTTAATATTGAAATTCCATTGCTCTTTTTTTTATAATCTCTGCGCAAAAATTTCATGTATAAAATTTATTGCCTCGCTTTTTCTCTTTTTATTTTACAGTCCCATTTTTAGTGTATAACTAATCCTAGGCTTGGCCTGTTAATTGGGTGTTTAAATGCTTTTATTTTTCACCAGAGTATGAGGCAATATAAAAGATAGTGAGCCGTGGAGTAACAGAAGTATAACCAAACGTCCTTGCAAGGCCGCAACGGGTGCCGACGCCCCAACCAGCAAGCCTAGTCTCTTTCCCTTTCTCTCATCCAATCACCCCCCCCTCCACTCTCTTTCTACCCCACAGTGAACAAACTTTATTCTTTATTCCATTTCCCCACAACTATCCCCTCCATTTTCTTACTCAACAGTTTCAGAAGTCACATACGTTTTATGCACATATGTATACATACCATATATATATATATGTAATATATTTATGTATGTATATATACGAAACAAATTTAAATTGTCATCTGGACTATATATTCAATTTTTTATTATACAACAAGAAAAATTGTTTTTAAATTAAATTATTATAATTATTATTGTTACTAATATTTTCTTATTATTTTTATTATTATTATTATTTTATTATTATTTAATACTGTTGCTATTATTCTTTGCAAAAAATTATTATTGTGAACTATAATGTTTTTAATGCAGAAAAATTAACACCGAAACTTATCTAAATTGTTTGAAACATAGAATTATTTTTTTTTTAAACATTTTTAATTTAAAAAAATAACAATTGTTTATGAAAAAAAAAAAAAATCTATGATCTTGTATATATAACATCAGAAAAAAAGGTTTATATTACAATCTAGCTCAGTGCAAGGAAAGTTACAAATCCTTTGCTGCATTAAATACCAATTCGAGAATTATATACTAGTATATATATAAAGGTGAATGAACGCGAGAACGAGAGCGCACTTAGCTCGACTCTTAGCAACACAATTCAAACCCTAAAGAAAACTGGAATGAAATATAAAATCGTGCTGCAATTTTTTTTTTTTTTTCTTTTTTTTCCCCGCAGGATTATATCAACTCTCCGACTGGATTTTCTACTATATATTGCTTTTATATTTATTTAGTTGTTTGCACAGTAAATTAACAAGAATAAGGTAAATTATAATCGTCACCTTATATGTATATGTATATATACAATTCAAAAATGGAATGTACACCATTGTTATATATTTTAATTTTTGAAAACTTTTTAATTTTTTAAATCTTATATTAATTTGTTTTTTGCTAAAAAATTTTCGCCACATGAATAAAATAAAAAAAAAAATTTTTTTTAATAAACTCCAATGAAAAAAATATTTATTTGATTCAAATAATCGATTTGAAATTTACTTGAATCAAATAATTTTCATTTTGAATTAATTAAATTATATATTTAAATCAAATAATAACTGTATTTGAAAAAAATACTATTTAATTAACTCAAATAATAATTATTTAATAAATATAATTTTGTAACTAAAAATTCTTTTAATAAATATAATTTTGTAACTAAAAATTTTTTTAATAAATATTAATAGTCAAGTAACCAATTATTTGGATCAAATAAATTTTTTTTGCAGTGTTTCTTTTAGAAAAAAAACCATTTATAATAATTATTATTAGTCCCGCATTTGTAATATAATAATAATAATAATAATAATAATAATAATAATAATAATAATAATAATAATAATAATAATAATAATAACAATTATAAAAAAATAAGAATAAAAAAAATTCTTTATATATGAAAAAAAAGAAATTTTATGGCCGCGCAATAGAATATTTTTCAATAATATACAAAATTGATTATAAATGTTTGTTAAAGCGATTTTACAGTTGCCGGATTTAAGTGGGCGACCATATAGCTTGCAATCTGGTTGCAATCGTCTGACACTCATTTTTTTCCCCCCCTCCGCCTGCGCACGTTATACGAGATTCATTCAAATTATACAGTTTATAAATAGAATATATAAGCGCAGGTATTTAATGTAAAGTATAATAATATATTTCATACTTTGTCGAACTAACAATTCGCTCTTTTAGTCCTATAATCATAATTTTTGCTTCAATATTCTTAATTTTAATGCAAATTTATAATCATAAATTTATGTGTGCAATTAGTATATATATATTTTTCAAAATTGTATAAAATAGAGATAGTAGAAAATTTTAATAAAGTAAATTTCTAATTATTTTTTTCACCATTTTTTGCAAAATAAAAACTAATTAATTTATAATGAATTAAGAAATAATTAATAAATAAATAATTAATAATTAATTAATTATATACAAAATAATTAATTATTAATTATTTATTTATTAATTATCTCTTAATTCATTATTAATTAATAATTATTAATAAAGAAATAATTATTAATTAATTAATTAATTATATACAAAATAATTAATTATTAATTATTTATTTATTAATTATTTCTTAATTCATTATTAATTATTAATTATTAATAAATAAATAATTATTAATTAATTAATAATTGTTAATAAATAATAAAATATTAAAATTTATTTTTTTTTTAATTATTTTTTTAAATTTATATTATTGTTATTCGATTGTGCGCGTTAAAAATAATAATTTTATAATGTGTAGGTGTGAACGCGATTTATTTACAAATTATTTGGAAACTCTATATATATATATCAGTAAACTTTCTGCAATTTGCATTAAAAAAATTTTTTTCCCCTTTTTTTTTATCCTAAAAGCTTGCCCAATTCTCACTTTTTATAATGTTTCAAATGTCATAAGTTTTTATATGCGAAAATAGAATTGTCTGTTGCAAGTTTACGACAGACAATGTTTATGCAAGATACCTGTCCAAATTTATGACTCGTCCCACCCACATATATATGTATATACTGAAGATGCAAGACCTTGAGTCGCATAATTCGAGTAGCATTTTATACACTTTCCAATTGTCATTAATTTGTTTATATTGATCATTCTTAAAAAAAAATTAATTTTATCGAAAAAAAAAAATTATAAATTACTTTATTTTAAGAGAGAATAAAATAAATATTTTAGACTTTGAGTACAAATTAATTAATAACATCTCGTTATTTTTAATTTTATAAGGAAAATAGCTTTCGAAAACACTTTTTTTCTCGACCACGTATATTTTTTTCTTTGAAAAATTTTAGTCAAATATAACCAAAAAAGGCAGTCATCGTATTGAATTTATTAAAATAATTTTAAAAAAATAATTTATTTCGAACTCATAAATTTATTTGGAAAATCTAATATTCAAGGTTTTTGAATGTTGTAATTATTTTACGATTACAAAACTATGATTATTAACTACTGTCGATTGTATATTATAAAAATACTATATTAATTATATACAATTCCCACCCAAATCAATAGTCTATTTTTTAAATATAATCATTATTTCCTAGATATTTAATTTTTTAGTAAACAATAAAATCTATAAAAAAAAAACAATTACTAAAAAAATCTCCCGATTAGCAAATAATTTTTTGACAAATCAATTTTCATCATATTAATTATTCCCAATTTACAGGATATAAAAATTATTTTTTTCGATATAAATTTTTTATAATTTCACTCCCTAGTTAATTCTAAATGATAAATCACACAGTCGAACGTTTCAGGTAGATTTATAATCTAAATGGAGTCTGACGAAAGATTTACAAGTCAGTTTGTTGGAAAAAAATTGTTTTTTATATATTTTTTCCACCCAACTGATAAACCAATTGATAAGATGTTAAACATTTATACATTAAAATAAATGTGCGCATTTACAACTTATTTTCCCTTTTTTTTCCTTGTGTATATAATAAAACATTGTATGTAAAATAAATCTTGCGTCAATTTAGAACATTAAAATTATTGCGAAAAATATGCAATTGAAATTGTATAGGATTTCACTTTGATATGGCTGCGATCGGCTGCGATTTTGTATATATATATATATATATATATATATATATGCCACTGTTTTATTTAAATAAACAAATTTTTTTGAGACTGAAATCAACGAAAGTGCGGAGGTCATCAATGGGTCAAAAACTCAGAAGCGTCGATATAAAGGCGATGTCAATTTCTGACTGGTTTCCCACGAGAACGTTATTCGTGCTAGCCAATTAACCTCTCACACCAGGAAACCGCATGGAACAAGTTGAAATTCTGCCTCGAGCTTCACAGTATATATACGGTTAAGATTTTTTTTTTTTTCTTTATTCATTCATCGATTTGCAATTTGTCGTTGTTCTCGTAGAAGACATAGAGAGGAACATCATTTTATTTTTGCGGCAAAAAAAGAAGGAAAGAAAGAAAAAAGTAATGCAAATGTATTCTGTTTCTTTTTTTCAGAAGCCTCAAAACCGTTTAGAAACTACCAATATTAAAAAATATTCAAACGATTAAAAATAAAAAATATTTTATAAAAATTTTTTTATTTCATAAATTTAATAAACGAGTAAATATATATATATATTTTTTTTTTGACAGCGCAAAAAAGGAGAATTTCGAAAAATAATGGAAAAAATTAAACTATTAGATATCTCGTAAACGATAAGATATATTCAACTTCAAAGAGTCTTATATTTTGCAAAAGAAAGAGGAGTCTAAAAAGAAATATATATATATATACGCGCTTTTAATACGATCATCTAAGTGTTATAAAAGACTAATAAAATGTTAGCTTTATGGGTTGTGTTTATTGGAAATAGCTTTCTAGTACAGTCAAAGAGAGAGAGAGAGAGAGAAAGAGAGACTAAATGAACTGCTGCAGGTGCGATTAAGATTGAAAGTGATAAAAACCGTAAACGCCATAATGTAATCTTACGTAGAAGAAACCATCTTCTTTTCCAAACTAAAGATTGCGCGCAATGGAATTTCGTCTCATAAAGCTTCCTAGGATGGAAGCTATTAACATTTTACCAACGCACTTGACACTGAGTGGCATTTTTTTTCTTTTTTAAGTTTCTTTAATGTCACTATAGAATAACAAATCATTATACTATACGTTATTTTTACTATTCCTATAAAATTCCCAAATTTCCACAAAAAAAAAATGCTTTTTTTATTTATAAATTCTTTCCTATTTAAAAATTTAAAAAATTCTTTTTTATATAATTTTATTGCTAGTAATAATTATTATTAATATAAAATAATTACGAATTTAGTAATTATAATTACTAATTATTCAAATTATTTATATTACTAATATTTTTCATTTTTATATAATAAATTTTTATTTTATTTCACCGCAAAATTGATAAATGGTTAGAGAAGTTTAAAGAAGATGGCAGCAGAATCCGAGGGCAAGGATCGAGATTACCGAGAACTCTCTGCAAAGGTCCTGGGCGCAAGGTTTATAAGTAACAACACAAGTTCTCTTAAAGAGAAAGATCAAGGTAACTTGTTTTCTAACTGTAAACGATTTCAAAACATTGCCAACACAACTATTTTCTATCATAATTTCTTTGAATGAGAAAAATAATTTAGGGATTTTTAAATAATCATTGATTTGCCTAAATAAAATTTCAATTTTGATAAATAAAAAATATTTTCACTATTTAAAAATTAATTTTTCTTGTAAAAATTATAAAAGATTTACCAATTGCAGATTCCCTTATTCGTCATAGTGATTGTATTATATTTTTTGAACAGCATCCGTCTCCAATCTGAAACATTTTATTTAATTAGTATATTTTATTTATTATTATTTTTTAATTTTTTTTTTGCTTTAAGACCTAGTGAAGCTGAAAAAAAATGTTTTTTTCCCAATACCGTGAGAGCTCTCACAAACATGTAAAGTTTATAGTGAACGGTGTATTGCTTAGATTAACGATAAGATCAATCGATCGTTGGTGAACTATGTTTGCATCGAAGCAAATCCTGTCACTTGACGATCTCAAATTTCACACAGCAACGAGACGACAACGACCATAGAGGGCAACACAGAAGATTGTGTATTAAAGAATTTTATAAGATGCAAAGCTTATATCATGAGAGAAGACAGAATGAATATATATATTTTGTGAAAGATCGTCAATCTATAATTAAGATCCCTTATAGCTGATTTGCAACTCACTCAAATGCGGATCTTGTGACGTACGCGTGTGGTCTCCGCAGGGATCTCAAGATTCCCTCGGATCATGTTACTATATGGGCTTGTAAATGTGAGCGGAAGGATTTTGTTAGACTTACTCTCTAGGCAATGTATTTTCCTAGATATTTAATTACCCAAAAAAAAAAAGAAAAAACCATTACGAATTTTTATATAGCGGAAAAATATCCAAGATAGCAAAAATCAAAACCGAAGTAAAATAGAAAAAACAATTTTTCATATTTTAATATTTGTATTACGAAAAGTAGAAAATATTTTCTAAATATTAGAAATTCCAAATAATATATTAAAAATCTCGAAAATTGGTTTTTAGAAAAAAAAAAAAAAAATTAGAGAAAATATTTTCCATACATAACTATTTATGACTAATTAATTGACTAATTTAGATTATGTAAGAAATGAGACATATTTAAAAAGACTTTTCCGTAATTTTCTAAATATTCAGAACAAAGAGTATATATATACATCTTTCACAACCGTCTCTCGAAACTGCGTTATTTTCACCACTTTTGTATAGGAAGGCAACAATGTAATGGTCATGTACGCGTTATATTATTATGCGTTAACCATTGTCTACAATTACGCGTTTAAATTTAACCTGACACACAAATTTTATAATTAAATACTTTCCAACCAAAAAAAAAAACGCTATTAACATTTTTCAAAAATCAAGTATACAAATAAATTTATTCTACGATTTTAAAGAACAAAATTCAACAAAAAGAAATAAAAAAAAATTCAGAAAAAATAAAAATTTTGTTTTCTTTTTATCATATGATTAATTTGTTATTGATATTTATAATTTGCTACTTTAGGAATCTCGATTTATTTATTACAGTAAGACAGTAGTCCAACTTCACATAAATTTTCATAATCTCCATAACCTATCGGTGCGCAGATAATAAACGTGAAAAATTCCCAAACGATTTATGCAATTAGCAACAGTTGTGGGAAAATAAATTTATAATATACGCGCGGCGATTAGAGTTTAATTTTGACCTCGACAATAACCATATACATATATGTTTTTCATCTTTTATTATAGTTATAGATTTTAATTAGAATTATCTATTAAAGATTTATAATAAAACAATTGTATAATTAAAATTATTTCAATAGATAAATATTTATTGATAATTGAAAAATGCAAAGAATCTTTTCAATAATTACAGAATTTTTTTTTTTTTTTTTTTTGAAATTCATATATTATTTGGAAAAAAAAATTTTCTACTATAGAAAAAATGAATGAATAAACATTGTAATTATTATTAATTCATTGTAATTATTATTTAATGTGTAGAGACGGAATAATTTCTTTGATTTGAAGAACAAAGGAGGCGAATATCATATGTATAAGAAACATTGATTACACAACGTAGTTACACATGCTTTGGACACTAACTTTGCTTCTAAAGCAGTTTTAAATAAATCAAATAAGACATTGTTGTAGACATGTTTACATGAGTTCATGCAGACATCTGCATTTAAATATAATATTCATGTTCATATTTCTTTCCAAATCGTCCACGAAAGAAAGATGAAAAAAAAGATAGAAAGAAACAATGAGAATGAAAGGTCCTTTGAAGGTGCGGAACTGTTTTGCTTTATCAGCTCAAACAACTTTTGTAGTTTGTCTGCCGACACAAATTTTTTTTTTTCTACTTTCCATATTTGCTTCCTGGTTTATAAAAGGTAAGTAACATAAAGCAAGTAAAATAAATTTTCAATTGATATAAAATTCTCTTTGAAAAAAAAAATATATATTTCATCCATTTATAAACTTTAAGAGAAAAATTGTGAAATAATTTATAAATTTCAAATTCATAAATAAAAGAACAGAAAAATTGTAAATATAAAATTTCAATGGAAAAAAATTAAATATCAAAATTTTATTAATCGACAAAAAAAAATTTAATTTCAATTTATTTAGATCGACGCAGAAATTGTAATAATTAGCATTTATCGAAAAGAAAATCAATTATAAAAACACTAAAATATTTTAAACAAACCAAAACATATTTTTTGAGATTAGAAATCTCATAGAATTAGTACAATTAAAAAAGCAATTTTTTATCAATTGAAAATAATTGAAAAAAAGACAAATATTTACAAAATTATAAGTAAAAATATAGATAAACAAATTTTAAGGTTACCTTTTTCACTTTGTTGATTTGAAGCATTTTTTACAATACTTTGAAAAGCAATCATTCACATCTTGGTATTTTCACTTTTTGTTAAATCATTGATAAATTCCAATGAATATACTTCCAGAATATTTAGAACATTAAAATAATTCATAATTTCATTTTTTGTCATGTGTCAACAATCACAAACGACAACGGTGAATGACCTTCATCACATTATCTGTATATTTTGCATCTTTTGCCAATCACTAATAATGCATCCAACATAATTATTATGTAATCTCATGCGCTTCAACTTATAAAACACTTGTAACACAAAATTTCGTTGAAGAATAAGAAATATTTTCCTTTTTTTTTTGATGAGGAAATGTGAAAAATAAAGAGTAACCGCCATTTTCAGCAGGCTGATGGACAATAAAAAGAAGGTAGAGAGTCTATAGACTCTGATTGGCTCAAATGAAAATGCGGTGCTCTGATTGGTGGACAAATTTTTCGTACCAACTTCATTATGGTTACAAGTAAAATTTCTATTGTTTTAATAATAATACTCAGCTGTTATATTCTTTTTTGTATAAATATATATTTTTAATTGTTTTTCGTAATGACAAATATCCCAGGGCAATATTTCTTTAGAATAATAATGTAATTGTAACACAATATTTTTTCCACCAATAACAGGAATGCATTACAATTTCAGCCAATCAAAACCTCAACTGTCTTCTAAAGCTTTTTATTACGCATTATTCAGTTGAAAGTGGCGGTTACAATTATAGTTTTCTCATTTCCTCATCAAAAAAAAAAGAAAAAATATCTTATTTTTTAACAAAATTTTGTGTTACAAGTGTTTTATAAGTCGAGTGGCATAAGATTTCATAATAATTATGTCGGATGCATTGTTGGTGATTGACAAAAAGATGCAAAATATACAGATCAAGTTTTGAAGGTCATTCACCGTTGGATTTCGTTAGGTATGTATATAGTTCATTGTTGATGTACATATCAAAACGACAAAATTATCTATTATTACTTTAATCTTTCAAATATTTCGAAAGTTTATCATACTTGTGGCCAACCAGTTGTAGATTATTACTAACAATTTTTGTTTCATCTCTCTCCAGTGAATGCAGCGATATTCCAGAATGAAAAAAGCTTCTTCCGCCCCATTTCTTTGAACTTTCGAGAGTGAAAAATCGAATCACATAATCTAAGACTGGATGATATATAATTCAGGAAGATAAATTATTTGAAGTCGTATCTTATTATGGTAAGTAATTAATAATTACCGTAAATTAAAATATTAATAACAATGATAAAATATTTAAGTGCAAAAAAATGTTAGGTTATGTTTTTTTTTACTTTATATTTTCAACAATACGCGATATAGACAATCTATTTATTTTATTATTTCCAATTTTATTTTGTCAAATGTGTTATAAATTTTTATTTTTTCTTTGAAATCTGAAGATTATGTACAAAAATAAGAGAAATAATCTACAGTAATTATGATTAAAAAAAAATAATTATAATGAAACCAATGTGATATATGAGGTTGGGCATTGATTATTTATTATTTAATTTTTTATTTATTATATTATTTAGTATTTAATTATTATTTATTTGAAATTAGTTTAATAATAATAACTTAATAACTTGATTTAAATTTAATTTTTTTTATTAATCTTTGTAAAACTGAAATATTTAAAAAAAAAATTTTTTATATTTACAATTTCTTTTTTTTAAATTAATTTTTATTACAGTATAGATAAGAAGACTGGACATTGGAGGTGGTGGAAAAACGTAAAAGATCCAGCATCCCTGCATCATTTAATCATCGATTGGTAAGTCCTTTCTGTTCACTAATAACATTGCGAGAATTTTCTCCAATTTTTTACATTATATACATATTTTTAAAAATTTAGAAATTCTTATTCTTTAATGCTTCTTTTCTTTTAGTTTTCCTATAATAAATTAGTTTTTAAAAATCTCATTTTCCTTGGTTTTAATTGTTCGATTTTTAATTATTATTTTTTTAAGAAAAAAAAAAAATTATTCTAATTTACAAAAAAATATTTTTTTAAATTTTTCATTTTTAATTTGTTCTCATAATTTCGTTGGATTTTCTCATCTTTTGGAATATTTTTTCCCAAAAAAAAAAAAAAAAAAAATTCTAATTTATAAAAATAATTATTACGATGAATAATATTGAAATTAAAAAAATTTAGAAAATAAGCAATACAATAAAGGAAAATTTTTTCTAATTTTTTATAAAAAGTTTATTAAATTAGTTTAAATATTTTTTTGGGGAAAAATACCCTTAGCAATATTATTATTTTGAAAAATAATTCCCAATACATCAACGAAATGAAATTTTATAAAATTCAACATTATTATATATACTGTTCTTGGTATATATATAGATTAATTCTCGTTTAATATTTTCGTCCGGTCGAATAAAGAAGTTGATTAAGTTGTTAATCGCAAAATTCTGAGCTCTTCGCATTAAATTGCATTGCTTGTGTGTAGGGGGAGAAAAAACTGGCAAACTGCGGAAATTTAACGACCGCAAAAGAGTATTTTCCATCTTGAACATATCTTGTAAAAGGTAGGCCATTCGACACTCGCTATCTCGTCATTACGGCCATTAATTGTGATGCGTTACAAAGCGTTTAAGTTCAACATAGTCTTTATATATTTTAAGGGGATATCGTTCTTTTTTTTCTCTGCGAATAAAAAAATAGAAAATATACGTATAAGTATATATATATAGAATTCAGAAATTAGAGAACAGCCGAGCAAACAAAGAAGAGTATAATAATGAAAGAAAAAAATAAACAAAAAAAAAATGGCTGGAGAAAAAGTTCAATAAAGAAAAAAGTTGAAAGATTGAAGTTACAATGTTCCTGATGGTGTAGAGAGAGAATCTCGTGACCGACCTTCGCAACAACTCAATCAGCGATCCACACGTATATATATATATATACGAAACCTTTTTTTTCCTTCAACCCTGGATAACATACCATCACCCGCATACCGGATGCTATTCAACAATCTAAGGAAAAATATAAAAAGAAAAAAAAAATGTTGGAAAATAATGCACAAATTTTACATGCATTGTTGGCTTCTTTCTTTTCTTTCCGTTGGCAAAACAATATTATACATTCTCATTGGAATTCATTAACATTAAAAAGAATTTTATACGTAATTATCTACAAATAAATGAAATTAAAAAAAAAGTGTTTAAAATATTTCCACTATAAAACAAAAAATATTTTTTTAAAAAAATTTAATTTCGTTTAATATTTTTTTTTCAATGTAACTTTTAAGGGGTTAGGGGTAGTCAGAATTTTCAAAAAATCAAATTTTTTTTTTTTGCATTTTCGTTAAGTAAAATATCTTAAAAATAATCTCTGAAAATTTCAAGTTAATCCGATAATTCGTTTTTAAGTTATTCGACAAATAACAAAGAGAGCTCGGGCCTTTGAAAGCGTTCGGGAGCGCTTGCAGCTAGTGTCAGCTGCAAGAAATCGGCTTTTAGGGTTCTATTGTCATCGATGAACTCAGACTTGGGTATATGTAGTAGTACCTAAATTAATATGGCCCAGGAATAGATGACTCGGTGTAAGTAATTTAATAATTCGTTTTTTTGTACGTAAATCTAGTGTGAAACTAAACGCGTTTTTCTCAAAACTATGTTTTTTGAACTGGTGACAACTATAACTCGAAAACCGCTCAGTCGATTTTAATGAAATTTATACAGCTTTTAGAATACATAATAAACTCGGGCCTGATCGAAGGATTTTTTTTTTTTGAAAAATTTCGATTTTTTAAGACCAATTAACTGTTGATTTTTTCCCAAAAATCTAGACAAAAATTTCCTGAGGCCGCCATTTTGTTAATTTTTGAAAAAAAAAAAATCCTTCGATCAGGCCCAGGATTATTTATTTATAAAACTAATTTTTTTTATCCGATTGATTTCTGATTAATCTCCAAGGACTTATGATTGTCACCGCAAGGACCTTTTTTTGGAACTGGGTTAACACAAACAGCTGTAACTTCGGAAATAAAAATTTTTTTTTTTTGAAATTTTCGTGACTTCAAGTCAAAACATTGTTTAATAATACCATATTACTACTTTTGTAAAATAAAATTATTTAATAGCAAAAAAAAAATACTGAAAATTCTCATTTTTTCGTGCCTCTGACTACCCCTAACCCCTTAAAAGGTTCTTAAAAAAAATTTTAAGGTAATTAGAGGATGGGGGGGGGGTATTTACAACCGTAAGTTCATCGTCGCCCAACGTCATTCAACTATATTGTGCGAGCTTTGTTCCGTTTCGAATACGTAATGCAATATTCCCTCTTTGATTAACAACCTGTCCCAAGTGGCACTAAAAACGGAACAAGCAAGCTGAGCAAATCTTAGCACATACGCCTATTTGCATTTCGTGAAAGCGAAGCAAAAAGTTTCCCGTGGCGTTTTTAAAACAACAAGTGTGTGTTTCAATCTTAAAATGAACATGAAGAAATAGATGTAGAATATTTGTTTCTTATTTTAAAAGTTTTTCAACATAAAAAAAAATTTCTCTTTATTTCTATTACTAAACTAAATTAAATTAGAAATGAATTAAAAATTAATGTGGAACAAAAAAGGAAACAAATAGAAGAAGTGAATAAAATAATTAATTAAATGAAGTAAACATAATAATGAAAAAAAAGAAGAAATGAATAGAGTAGAAGGATTTTAAAAAATGAAGAAGTAAAGAAGTAAATAAAACCGAAGATATACTATAGATGAAGTCAATTAAATGGTAGAATAAATTAAAAGGATATAAGGTGAAGAAACTCTTTTTTAAAAAAGACCATGTGAATGGAAAAAAAATGTTAACGCAGAAGAAATTGTAGTAAAAAGATCAACCGAGTCTTATCTTAAAGAAGTATCAGATATTTCCTCATGGTACTTGGTAGAGTGTCACATGGGTTCGTGTTGTCCCAGATCATTAACAGGAATTACAAGTAGCTTCAAAGTTAAACAAGAAAGATTAATTACATTTATGTAGTTTCTCGGCAAAAAAAAAACACTTTTTTTGTAAACACATTGACATATAACAGACAAAAATAAATTCTTTAAATTAACTTTCTATATAAAATTTATTTTAATTTTCTAAAACAAAATAAAGTACACTGAGAAAAATATGCTATTGAATCAATTCTGCCAAAGGTATATAAATTATTGATTCTAAAGCATATGCTATAAAATTTGTAAAATATTTCATAGATTCAATAGCATATGCTTTTGAATCCATAATTTTTATACCTTTGGCAGAAATGCTATTGATTCAATAGCATATTTTTCTCAGTGTATATATAATTGTTTTTGTATATTTACTATATTCAAATTTTCATTTTCGAAATGTGAAATTTATTTACAATCTTTGTTTATATGGTATGACCGGTTGGAAGTCTAATAAAGGAAAGTAATACTAGTTTCTTTTGCGAAATTCGTGTTTTGTGCTATTAGAAGCACTTTAGTAAAACACCAATTTCGAGGAACGGCACGGCTTTGATTCTATACAGCTAACGCTCCTTAGCCAGACTAATTGCGCGTTGAGAGAGAAAGAGCAAGTAGAGCTTATACAAAAGAATTGGAAACAAATACTATACGAGAATACCCGAGGAAATTAGCTGCTTCGTCATAAAAGTACTCTTTTTTCCATGCGAATAGTTGATGATTCAAGAGAAAAAAGAATTTAACAGTAGCATGATTCTTCGACGCGTTCAATTAAAATTAAATTGCGTAAATTACAATAAAAATGTTTTGTAAATAATTTGAGAGAAAAAAAAAGAAGAAAATGATGAAAAGTTGCGGAATGAGTATATATATAGAAATTGTATGTATATTCAGAAAAGGATGATATGCGCAAAAATCGAAGTTACTTTAAAGAAAGCGTGTGCTCAAAGTTTATGACCACAACGCTATAAAAGCGAGCACGATTATTCCGGTTTACGTCTATTGTAAATGGTTCAGGAACTGTCACTGTAAATACATGATGCTTAACTATGACATCCTGCTGCGTCTGATTAACTGCGAACAACTAACCCTGTCAAATCACTGTTTTATAGCTTCGGGCTATTAACTACGATTTTTCATCACAATTTTTTTTTTCTTCTCTTTTCCCCCCTGCAAATAGAAATTGTACAGCCACTCAAAATATAAATACCAATAAAAAACGTCGAGATTATGTTTTAAATTTTTTGCGTTCAAAATTTAATAACCATTGCAATTTCGAGTGTTTAGATTTTTGATCATTATACCATCAGTTAGAAAAGGAGTTATTGACTCTGGGCGCAAATTTAATTATGCCAGAAAATATTGCTCAAATAAATGTAAAAGATTTCTTTTTTGTATATTTTTTTCTTTCTATTTGTTTTCGTGTGAGGTCCTCATCCTTATTTATGAAAAAAAATATGCAATCAGTTTTCTTTAAACAAAGATTTTCGAAGGTGTCTTTGGTGTTTCGCGCATCAGTTATCCAGAACGTAATCTTCGTATATATGTGCTCGCAAGAGCTATGTTAAAGTTACGAGTAAAGCATCGTAACTAACCAAAAAAAAAAAAAAAGAAGGAAAAAATCAAGTTGCTCATCCCAACTCTCTTTCTCTCTCTTTCTGCCTATGCACCGCGCAAGAGAACTTCGAATGCGAGAAAAATAAAGGATGTGTGCATGGCATCCTTTCTGCGTGCCTACGCGTTCAAGATGGCACGGAGCGAAAATAAGATTTCGTCGGCGTCTCTTTCTCGAGAAGAGAATTTTTCGAGTAAAAATTGGAAAATCTTTCCACCTTGTGTTTAACACTGAGGTATAGATGATATGAGTGTGTGTTTTATATATGTATTGAATATATAAATGTATACATGTATGTATATATTGTGTTTATCTTTGATCTTGGAGTATTTTACTTGTTGTGGTATTGGTATTCATGAACGTTCCACAGAAAACATAACGACTTCGGGACTCGCGAGGATTTCGCGCGCGCGATCGACTACTACGACAATGGCGTCTTTATTAGGGATCGGGAATCCCCCTTTCGAGAACATTTGCATATTTGTACGATCGTTGTAAGTCCTGCAACGACACGACGTAAAATGCTTCACTCGTTCTTTTCTTTTCTTTTCTTTTTTTATTTTATTACGATAAGTTTTCCTCTTTCATGTGCTGCGATCTTACTTTTGCAAAAAAAAAAATTAACACAAAACAAAATTTTTTCTTATCGCGTAAATTATTTTTCATTTTGTCCTATAAAAAAATTACTCTTTCTTCGATTATAATTGATTTTCCACAATAATTTCTTTGTTGAGCTAAAAATTCACTTTCTGTTATTGTATATACGCACCGAGACCCTATTTCCCAGAAACTTAGATTGTTCTTGTTCTTGTTCTCAGGTTACGATAAATTACAATTCGTACAATTACATGCTTGGACCTTGAGTTGTGGCTCCCACGCAAAAGTGGGCCTGATACAACTAAGATTTTCTGGGCCATAGCCTCGAGACATTTCCTTTGGTATACTCCTTTTTTTTGATTTCTTCTTTTTTTTCATCTCATTTATTTTACAATATAAAAAATTTATAAAGAGATAATAACAAAAATTGTGTTAATATCCTCGGCTTTTCCAATGAATTTCTTTAAAACCACAAAAAAATGTACCATTAACCGCAAGTGATCCACATATTATTATAACACCTTGTGAATATCCGGTGGTTGTAAAATATATTATTCGACCCAATAAAATGGAAAGTGGAGCAAAAAAATATAAATATTAGTAAAAAATAAAATTGACCTTTTTTTTGTGATATTTGCGCCTCAAATCTTATTATAGCGTGTATATTAAAATATGAAATTGCGAATGGAATGTTACTTGAGATTTATGTACCAGGAAAAAGCTGCACAACGTCAAATTGTCAATAGTAGACAATGAGGCATCGATTTAATATAGGTAATTAAGTAATTACCATCACTCGAATGAAATATATTATAGTGCCGCATATGGGATGTGCGCGCACCACGACTAACATGTCAAAGACATTGGAAGGTCAACGTTAGATAAAATCTCTAACATAGAAGATGGCTTTGTCAGGCAAAAGTAACATCTATGAAGTTAAAACCTGAGACACATATAAAGAGAGAGGACCGTTAATCGTTATACTATACAGGGGCGATCGCCTCAAGAGTCGAACAAGTTAACCGCATGAAATCGATATATGAAAGAAGATATTCTCCGTCTTAATAACGCACACGTCGCACATTCTTAAATATATCAAATATTGTGCGGATTTAAACTTTCTATTTGCGCTTTTAAAAAAAAAACTACTTTTCATAACACATGGATGGAAAACGTAACTTTCGATTCGTGAAAATCAATTTTCAAACAAGGGCCGAAAGTTTCTAGATACCAATGAGAAAAGTTACGGAAATAACCGAAGGTAAATCGTTTCGAAACGTCGGTTAACCGATATTAGCCGACGATACCCGAAATGAAGCGACGTGAACCGATGATACGCGAAGTGTTTAACCGACGTGAGCCGATGATACCCGAACTAAGAAAAAGTTCCTCTTTTCGAACTTGTATCGAATTTTATATAAAAAAAAAACAACTCGGTTTTAAAATGAATAAAAATTGTATTATTTGAGTATTTTGTTTTAGTAAATAATTCTAAAAATTGCACTAAAGTAAATTAATGAGAACTTAAAAACTAGTGTGTATAATTCATAACACACACACGTCAAGGTTTTGAATAAATGTCAATTCCTTTGAGTATCTATATGTCATTTACATTTGAAATTATTGTCAGATTTACAAGCCCCTCGACCCCTTTTAATGAAATAATTGAACCCTCCACACGATTTACTTGAACCTTTTATTAACCATATAGACGCTGCCAAGAACTGCTTCACTCTAGTTTTATAAACACCATTAATCATTTTGCGTGCGGTGGCATCGATACATATATATATATATATGTATACACAAATTATTATACGAGCGTAACTTTCCAGGCGACGTTGATTACAGACCTAGTCAAATAAAATATATGATTGAGTTTCAAAAACTACATGAAGAAATAAAAAGTAACTTTTACTACTTCCACAGTAAATCCGTAATTTCTGCGGAACTTTTCCTATAGAAATAGTAAAAAATACTATTCCACACTGAAAAAAAATTCTAGTTAGAATAACCAGAATTCTAGTTAGAATAACCAGAATTCTGGTTAGGGTATATATTTAACATTTTAATTCTGGTTAGGTTAACCAGAATTCTGGTTATTTTAACGAGAATTCTAGTTAATTCAACTAGAATTCTGGTTAACATAACTAGAAAGTAATGTTAAATATAGCCTAACCAGAATTTTTTTTTCAGTGCAGAAGTTTTTTTTTATTTCCCAAGCAAAAGTGGTTTATAAATATCAAAAGTTACTTTATATTTGTGAATTTCATATTATTTTTTGTAACGAAAAATTTGAAAAAAACATTCAGTAAAAAGTTTTTTCGTTTATTAATTAAAATTTGAAAAAGAGCTTTTTATGTTAAAAATTCAAATTGGCAGAAACAAAAAAAAAAAATTTAATTTTATTTATTCGTATATAGAGAATTTTAATACCTTGTATTACTGGAAGTGTTAAACGGGTCTTGCAAATATGTTATCTTATATAGTATTTCAACCTTGAGCTTATAATATGTAATAAAATGAAACTAGTTAAAAAAAAAAGGGAAAAAAAATTTTTATCACTGATTCTTGGCAAATTAAAATTTTTGTTCGTCCCTTCTTGAAATGCGTTAATCAGGCGGAAAATGTGAGTAATTCTATCAGCTTCCATTCTGCTCGAAATTCCACTGTTCAATGACGCATAACACGTGCACTGGGCTGATTAGCATATTTGAAAGTTGCAAAGAACATTTTGATCGAGAGACAAAATTCTGGAAAATTATCCCCCCCCCCCTGTAAAAAGAACTTAGCTTTTTAGTTGGAAAAAAAAAAATTTTACAATTTTTTTTTTTTTTTGACGGGAAAAATAAAATTTTGTCACGCTTCTATTCAATTTTGCGAATAGGAAATTTTTTAAATATATTTCTATAAATATAAAGATACATTGTATGTACTTTTATGGAATGTGACTTTTTTTTTTTTTTTTTTTTTTTGTAAACTTAGTATATGTGAAAAATGAATCTTTGCAAAAAATATATTTAAAGCAGCGAAATTGATTCTTGGAGACAAGATGAATATGACGCCGTGACGAGGGAAATACGAGAAGGTAAATGTAGTCGACACGTGCACCTGTGGAATTTGTTGCACGTGATCTCGTTTAAACACTTGCGAGTGAATGCTTTTATGCAAGTAATACAACGCCATATTTGGTAACATCGACCCAAACTCATGCCAATTGAACGACATGTCTGTATAAATCTTAAAACATTTGTTCTTGATAAATTATACTAACGACATTCTTGTTGTATATACATATATATATATATATATATATATATATATATATATATATATATATATATATATATATATATACATATTTATACGTTCGCCTATATGTTACTTTTTCACTTTCAAATACATATAGTAAATTTATTCACATATTTCAATTATTTTTTTTTTGTACCAGAATTTTCAAAACGGATATAATTAATTTTTTTTATCTGATGTATTGAGAGTTTGTTTTTCTAAAACAAAAAATAATTTTTATGTTTATGTAAATTTTTTTTTATTGCAGAAGTGTCCATTTTTTGAGGGTATAAGGTGTTTGTTGCGGAGCAGCTCCTGGAGGAGATCTGGCATTGCCGAGTCGCAGTTCAATGTACGTTATATTTTTATTTTCCTAAATCTTCTTTTTTAGAAATAGTCTGAATCGTATTAAAAATACGTTATTTTGCATATTACATAATAAATTATTATAATTTTTTTCTTCTTAAATTTTTTTAGGTATTTGGTCCAGAGTAAGGAAGATTCCTCTTTTTGAAGTGATAATATATGCTGTCATCGTATATCTCTATAATAAGAAGCGAAAATTCTCAGTGGTAAGTTCTTAGTTATATAATTTTATTTAAATTAAAAATTTTTTTATTGTAACAATTATTATAATATTATTAAAAAAAATTGATGTAGTAAATAATGTTTTATTAATTTTATTTTTCAGTTAATTTCCAAATGACAATCAGAAGGACAGGAAGGATGTGGACGAAGAAAAGTGGCCCCAGCATACTGCAGAATTTTTTTTTCTAATTTTTTTATTCTGTAGTGTAGTTCCCGATCTGTGCAGAAGTGCATTCAAGAGCAGAGATCTTCGGGAGTGGTCCAAGAAGAAAAGGTAGGGGCAATTATTGCTCCAACGTGGGATTCGCCGATCGGTGAGTCGGTTTTTTTTACTTTAACCCCCTTCCCTGTTTTGAGACAATTGCATAATTTGCAACAATTGCAGGTAATCTAAAATTACATTAAATTAATTTTTTATAATCTCATTAAATTTGATGAATTTTCTTAATTTTCTTTTTAATTGAAAAAATTGATCCAAAAGTTTTAAAAACAGGGAAGGAATTCTATCAAACATAGTGGCATCATTGGGAAAAATATATTTTTCCGGGACGTAAACCCTAGTGTAGGTAAATTTTTTTTCGTTTTAAATATAGCTGTAGGTAGGAAAATTCGGAATTTTTTTTTTAGGTAAATTTTTTCGTTTTAAATATAGCTGTTTAGGTAGGAAAAACGGGAAATTATTTTTTAAATGAAGTACCTACTTCACTTTTATTTATTTTTATGTCACTATGTTGTTTAGAATTTTATTTTTTTATTAATTTGTGAATTGTATTCAATATTGTTTTGTATTTGTTTAATATTGAAACATTAATTTACAGTTGAATCATCGTGGTGAGAAATCGTTTTTATTTAATTTATTAGTTTTTATAATTTATTATCACAGTAAATTATGGAGTATTATTTTAATATCATAATGTTTTTTTAATATAAAATGTAACGCGTTAATTTATCGCAAAGATTCAAATAATTGATCCAAAAATTAAAATTGTAAATTTTCAAACAATAAACTTAGAAAACATTTATATTTATTAAATTGAAAAAAAATTTAATTAGAAAAATTGATCATTTTTAGGGTTCTGTACATAGTGGGTTCAAAATTGGTACACAAATTTATTTTCACGTGTAAATTAAAGAAAAAATATAAAGAATCTGAGTAGAGGTGATGGTTGTGTAATTATTGTTTTTTTTTGTATCGCTTTATTATAGTAGTTACCAATGGTTGTGAAATTATTGGTATTTTTTTAGTAGTGCTTTATTATAGTAGTTACCAATAGTTGTGAAATTATTGGTAATTTTTTTTGTAGTGCTTTATTATAGTAGTTACCAATAGTTGTGAAATTATTGGTAATTTTTTTTAGTAGTGCTTTATTATAGTAGTTACCAATAGTTGTGAAATTATTGGTAATTTTTCTTTTTTTTTGTAGTGCTTTATTATAGTAATTATCAATAATTGTGAAATTATTGGTAATTTTTTTTTTAGTAGTGCTTTACTATAGTAATTACCAATGGTTGTGAAATTATTGGTAATTTTTTTTTTAGTAGTGCTTTATTATTTTTTATTTATTTATTTTAAATTTATATTCTTTCTTTTTTAAAAATTTATATTTGTATACCAAATGAATTCGACGAATGTACTTAACCCTCGGTTTTTAGTGCAATTACAACTTGTCCGATTTTTATCTTCTATGTTATTAATTTAATCTGTAATCATTTTTAATACCTCCTAGTTTACTGCGGTAGATTAATCAATTATTTTTTCAATAGTTTATAAAAATGTTTATTATATTCTTATTTTACTTACAATTTGGTTTTTTATATTCTTATGTTTATTTATATATTTGTTTATTATATTCTTATTCTTAATTATGTAAAAATTTTATTTCTATTACACTTAAAGTGTATTAAAAAAATTGAATTTAAAAATTTTCCACTCGAATTTTTCAAATTTGAAAATTTTTTTTAAGTTTTTAAAAAATTTATTGTTTGTGTTTATTTGCAAACAATAATTGTTTCTATTCACGAAATGAAAACCAGTTCCAACTAATTTTCAGTTATTATTTTAGTCACGGTGAGCAAAGTGATTAGTTTTTTTTTAGCTTCACATTCTTAGAAATTTATATTCATCTGATGAGAATGGGACAGGGGGGCGTGGATTGAAAACTAATTAGAGTCAAATCAAAAACCTTCAATTATTTTCTTTCGCTTAATATTCCACGCACTGAAAATCGGGATTCAAAAGAAGTTCATTGAATCGATTTTTTTTTTCATTACAATTCAAAAATACGATTCGTCAATAGAGACTTTGAGTCACTAGAGAGAGAATATTGTTCTTCTTAGATGTGATTATTTTGTTAATCAAATAATTACATTAGTATATACATTTTATCTCTTTTCAATTTCACTATTTTTTTTTTTTTTTTTTTTTTTTTGAATATCGTAAAATTTTATTTTAATAAAAATTTCTTTATTATATTTTTATTAGAATTTTTATTGAAATAAATAAATAAAATAAATATATAGAGAAAGTTTTGAATAATGTATGGATTTAAAAAAAAAATATCTTCGGTTTATTGGAAGTATAAAGAATTTGAATTTGATTAAAAATCGGTATAAACAATAGGAATTGAATAAAAGGTTTTGTGAAACCGTTTAAACCAGGTGTCTCCATAACACGTGTACATATAATACGTATTTATCTTGATTCGAAAACAATTTTATTTTACTGCATACAATTGGTATAACGGTAAGAAGAGAAGCCGTAATAATACATGTAGGTGTCCTATTAGTTTTTCGATTTCATGTGAATTAGGTATTATATATATATTTTATAGGTCAACATTAATTTCTTCATAAAATAATCTTTTAAAAAAAAATAATTTTATCTAAATTAAGGTTTTAAAATTGTATTTTCTTCGTTATATAGAATTTTCAATCAAATAATATTTCTGTTCTTCAAAAATAGTGCGTTTAGAAATTTCTTTTTAACGCCTCTAATAAAAAATATTGAATTTAGAAAAATTTCAGGTAAAAATTGTTTATATTCTTCACTCTATATATCACAGAAAATTATAAGGTATTAAAATAAGCTGCAACGCTTATTATTTTAATCCAATTTTGCTTATTTTAATACCAAAATGGATTAAAATAAGCAAAATTGGATTAAAATAATAAGCGTTGCAGCTTATTTTAATATGCCTTTTAATTTTCTGATGTTTTTATTAAAGCAATTAGCAATTTATTTATTAAATTCTACTAATTAGTATAAATTTTTTCGATCGTGAGAAATATAGTTATTTTTATATTGATCGGTTTATCAACGAATTTACAATTATATAAAAATCAAACTAAAAAAGCAAAAATATTTACGCAATTTACTATTAAGTATATATCACGTCTGCATTGAAGTCTCCCACGAGGCAAAAGTAAAGCATGCGGATGGAAATCATTCATAATCAGCGCAATTAAGCCCTCATACCTTCATTTCTCGACAAAACAAGAAAACTAAAATCTAATTAATTAGTCTAAAGAAACATGAAAAAAATTCTTTATTTGTTCCAGTTTTGAATTATTTATTTATAAAATAGAAAATTGAAATAGAAAGAGAAAAATAATGGCGCATGAGATCGTTAAAAATTTAATAAGCAAAACCCGTGAACTCTGAATGTAAAGTCATCAAAGGGTATCAAATATCGCAGTGAAGTACCGCAAAAGAATCAAGATAGTGAGTATATAAAGCATTGAATATATATATATATATATATATATATATATATAACCCTAGATTATTTGCACACACAGGTGACCGTTAAATTCCTCGATATAACCGCTTCTAAATTCAATTAGTGAAGTACGTGACCGTAGAAACAAATGAGAGAGTCCTCTCTGTCTCTCACACTGCAAGTTAACGGCTACTACTGTGTATTAGATGATTCTTTTTTATTTCCATTCTTTTGTTTCCTTTCACAATGCACCTTTGTGTATACCTTCAATACTTGGAACCTCCAAATATATAATCTTCTTTATACAATGAATTCATAATATCAAATCTTTAAAATCATAAAATTTTTATAATTAATTTTTTTTCAAAAATTCTGCATATCACCGAAAAAAAATCCTCTTGTTTCAAGAGGATCCTAGGTTTAAGAGAATTATTGTCATCTATGTAAAATTATTCCTCTTAATTTAAGAGGATACTCTTATTTTAAGAGGAAAATATCATCTTAAAAAGAATTCTAAAATAATAAAAATGCAATCATCTAATTTGTATGTCATAGATATAAACTATAAAATTAAAAGGAATAAAATTTGTTATTCCATGATTTACATCTATTTGAGTATAAATAAATTGAAATTGATTTTAATTTTTTTTTTTTTTTTTGAATAAAATCAACTAAATCTATTTTTAATAATATTTTTATGCTCAAAACATATACTTCATTAAATTTGAAAATTTATTTTAAATAAATTTTCAAATAAAATTAAAATAAATAAAAATTGTAATAAAATAAATTTTTAAATAGCATAACCTCAAAATTATTTAAATTTTCTTCAAAATTACTTTAAAAAATTTCTTTTACCTTCAAAAATAGGCACGTATTGTGTAAATTGCAACTCTATCAAGATATTTAAAAGATTATTATCCATTTTGGTTTATTCCCCCTTTTTCACACAGAAACTAAAACTTTTTCACGTATGATATGCGATTTATGACGCGACGTAAATGATATGACGGAATCATCTTTGCGCATAAGCGACTTTTTATGGGAAATCCTCTTAGAATTTAGAGGAATATTCTTAAACAAATAGAAGATTATTCTAAATTCTAAGAGTATTATTTTTATTCTAAAAAGATTATTCTGAATATAAGAGGAATGCTCTAGAATAGTCCTTTTTGTTTCGATCCTCTTGAAATTAGAGGAAAATATTCTCATTTAAAGAGTAATACTCTTGTTTTAAGAATAAAATACAAGAGGATTCTGTAAGAGAAATTTTCCTCTGAATACAAGAATATTTTTTTTTCGGTGTATACAATTTGTATCTATTCCGTTATTTTTTTCAAATATAATTGAATGATTGAATCCACATGATGTCATTATTATTCTTAATATTAAAATAATATATAATTATAGAGTGAACTGCTTTTATATTAAAAAAAAAAGAGGGGGAAAAAACACATGAGGAAAGCAGGCGCTCAATAATACTCAGAACCCTTGATGTACCGCGAAACACTTGTAGCTTATTATGTGGTTGTTAGTGTGTATGAGAAGAATCGAAGGATATCCGGATGAGA